TGTACCCTGTGTGTGGTGGGGTTCCCAACGACGCCCATGTTAGAGGGGTCTCCCCCCTGGAGCGGGGAGTTCCCTCTACTCTGGGTACTGTAGTATTTGGGTTCCCAAAGATGCCCATGTTAATGGGGTCTCCCCCTGGAGGGAAAAGTCCCCTCTACCCTGGGTGCGATGGTATACAGAGCTCCCCCCCCCATGCCCAAGTTAGAGGGGTCTCCCCCTGCAGGGGGGAGTACCCTAACCGTGGGTGTGGTGGTATCCGGGTTCACCCCCACACCCAGGTTAGAGTGTTCTCCCCCATGTTGGGGGGGAGTCACCTCTACCCTGGGTGCAGTGTTGTGGGAGCTCCCCCTGCCACCCTGGTTAGAGGCATCTTCCTTCTGGAGTGGAGGGGAGTCCCCTCTACGCTGGGTGCAGCTGTATCCGAGCTCCCCCAGACACCTGGGTGTGTCGGGTCTCCCCACCCTGGGGGGGGAGGGGGTGGAGGCCCCTCACTCCTGGGTGTGAAGGGTCTGATCTCCCCTTGGCAGCTAGGGGGGAGTGGCCTCCCCGCTGCAGGGAAGAGTCCCCTCACCCCTGGGTACGATGGGTTTGACCTTTCCTCGGCACTCAGGGGTGGGTGGTCTCCCCCTGAACCCAGTAGGGGGGAATCCCCTCACCCCTGGATGCAATAGGATCTCCCCTCAATACCCAGGGGAGAGGGGTCTCCTTCCTAACCCTCTAGCACAGAGCCGGCTCACTCCTGGGTAGGACGTTCCTGCGTGCCCCTTGGCACCCAGGGGAGAGGGGTCTCCCCCCTGTAGTGAATAGCTGGCTCACCCCTGGTGGCGATGGTCCCTGGCATCCCTCAGCACCCAGGGCAGAGGGGTCTCTCCCTGGTACTGCGGAGCCTGCTCACCCCTGGATGTGACAGTCTCAGGCGCCCCTTGGCACCCTGGGAAGAGGGGTCTCTCCCAGGTAGTTGGAAGCCCACTCACCACTTTGTGTGATTGTCCCGGGCCCCCTTTGGCACCCAGGAGACAGGGGTCTCCCCCCCCACACCGGGACTGGGGAGCCTGCTCACCCCTTTGTGTGAAGGTCCCAGACGCCTCTAGGCACCCTGGGGAGTAGGGTCTCCCCCCGGTAGTGGGGAGCCCGCTCATTCCTGGGTGCGATGGTCCTGGGAGCCCCTCACACTCAGGGGAGAAGAATCTCCCTCTGTAGTAGGGAGCCTGCTCATCCCTGGGTGCGATGGTCCCAGGCGCCCCTCGACACCCCGGGGAAAGGGGTCTCTCCCCTCTATCAGGGAGTCCCCTCAGCCCTAGCAGGCAAAGTCCCCTCATAAACTTGGGGACAGGAGTCTCCTCCTCTAGGGGGGAGTTCCCTGGCTACCCAGGGGACAGGAGTATTTCCTTCTAGGGGTGAGTCACCTTGCCACCCAGGGAAGAGGGGTCTACCCTCTAGGGGGAATCCTCTCCTCCCTAGGGACAAGGGGAGCTCCCCTTGCCACCTAGGGGCAAGGGGTCTCCTCCTCTAGGGGAGAGCCCCTCTCCTCCAGGCTCGATGTGTCCAGGTGAGAGATGGCTCCCCCTCTAGTGGGAGTACCATCACCCTTAGGGGCGATTGGTCTGAGCACCCCTTGCCACCCAGGGGTGATGGTTCTTCCCGTCTAGGGGGTAGTCCCCTTGCCCCTAAAGGTGATAGGTCCGAGTGCCCCTTGACATCTAGGGGAAAGGGGTCTCCCCCTCTAGGGGGGCATCTCCTCACCCCTAGGGGCCATGAGTCTGAGTGCACCTCACCACCTATGGCAGAGGGTCGCCCCCCTCTTCTCAAGGGAAATGAGGAGTGTCCCTCGACACCCAGAGGCAGAGGGGGCTTCAGAGGGTGAGGCTCTCCTCTCCTTGAAGGCCAAGGAGGGGCCCCCACGCCCCTGGCCACAGCAAGGGGAGCCTTAGCCCTCCCCTTCATGGGAGAATTGAGGGCCCCCTTTCCTCGAGGGCCTACAAGGGCCTCCTGGAGAGGCGACGAGGGGCCCTGGCGCCCCTAGCTACCCAGTGGGAGGGGGCCCCTCCTCCTCTAGGTTGAGGCCCCCCTCTCCTCAAGGGGCGATGGTGCCACTCGGAGGGATGTGGGCCCCCCTCCTGGGGCTAGGCCTGTCTCCTCTGGGGGTGATCCTGTCTCTGCTGCAGCATGTGAATTCTGTGTCCACCTCTGTGCTGACTGCAGGGGCGTGTGGTGGTGGGGAGAAATGCAAATGCTTTTCTTATTTAACACAGCAGTGGAGGCAGGCTGCCATCATGTCTTATCCCATACTCCGGAAAACTGGTTCCCCTGGGTATGGTGCACTCCCTGAGCCACATGGCCCTGTGCAACACAGGTGCTTTATATGTTCTTTGTTGCCTCAAAACCCAGGTTGTTGGACAATTTCCACCCTCTCTGAAGAGGGTTGGTGGGGAAGCCCATCTTATCTGAGGAGATGTGGCATAAGACGAAACCTCGATTCACCCCACACTTGGCCCACAGATGTCAAACAGGTCCCTAGAGAATTGTAGCCTCCTTGCTTCTCAAGCCCTGATGAGCCCTGTGTCCTCTGGAAATCCTACCTTGTGCAGGTTCTGATATGTACCTGGGCTTGGGGACACTCAAAGTCTGTGCTCTAACAATTCCCAGCTCATGTGATGCTCTGACCCTCAGATCCCATTTTGGAAAACAAGGTGGAGGGAAGTAGATGGTCTCAGCTGTGCCTGTGGCAACCGTCTCCCAGAGCAGACCTGCATGCCCTGCCATCCCCACCTCTGGACAGGTGTCCCCCTCTCCCTTCAGAGAATGACTGCTGCCTCATCTCAGAGTGGACTTCCACCCAGCAGCAGAAGGCAGACTCTGCCTACCAGACACACTCATACTCTCAAGTGGCTGCTGCAGGCACACCCTGCCTGTCCACAGGGAGAAGGGAGTGACCTTGAACTTGACACTCTGTGACACTCTGACCAAGCATGCTACCATCACTAATATCACTCTGTTCTAGAAAAATGAACTAGAGATGGAAAAGGAACATGGAAAAGTAAAACTATGTCCTGACCCTAAGCTAAGATCACTCTCTGCCCTGGAATTCTCTCTCTTGCACTTGAAGGGTTACGTGCCAGGATGTACAACCATGGCCGGGTGACTAACTCGTGTACCTCACATGTCCTTTTTATGAGATCCATCTGGAGTCTTTAATCATATGTTGCTATCACTGGGTCTTTGTAGACTGAAGAATTGTGATGCCTGGTCAGGGACAGGCTATTGACCATTTGTCTGCTGCCCCCATTGAATCTCCTCCATGGCCCTGGTCTTCCAGAAGTTGCTCAGATCAGAGCTGTCTTCAACCCCTGGGTTGACGCTGTGGGTTTAACCAGTGGAGGGTGGAGCTCCATGTCACTTACCTTCACTTTTGCAGCCATTGGGTGACACATGTTGGCTGTGACTGTGCGTGTGGCTGCTGTGTTGGATGGAATCCATAGTCCTCCCTCTCTTCTACCATCACAAATGACCCAGGTGTGTCCCCATAGAATGTGAATGTAGCTGGGGAATACTTTGGGTTTTTTGGTATAAAATCACACGCATTTATTACCGTTTCTGTGGTTTAAGAATCTAGGAACATCTTAGCTGCTCCATAGCCTGAGAGTATTTTGAGATAATAGTGTATTTTTAGTATTTCTTCCCAGGATTTTGCCTTTTCCCTTCCCTGGTTCAAGTAGTGTTTGGGGCCTATTCTCGTGGGCCCTGTAGACTGCTGAGGCAGAGCAGAAGCCCCAAGAGGACCCACACTGAAGAAGGCTGCAAAGGTCCCTCAGGTGCCACCTTCCTGCTTGTTTTCCCCAGGAATCTTTGAAGTCTGCCTATGGTTTATTTTAGAGCTGAAAACCTCAGTATAGGAGAGTGAAAAAGAGGGCCCTGGACCTTGTTCCCACAAGTTCACTAATTGCCTACTATGTGCCAGGCCCCTGCTAGGCACCAGGGTTGCAGATTTGAATTAGCTACTGTCCCACCACAGACTGCATATGGAATCCAAGGACAGAGGCTGTCAGGTGCTAGTGCAGGCAATGCCAAGTTGCTACCTCCCAGGAAGAAGTTTCTGGAGTCCAACAACCAACCATGGAGAAGAAGGATTTGATCTGGGAGATTCTCATCTTTACCCTTTTTTCTTGTCTCTTCCTTCCAAGTTCTCTTCCACATAACAAGCTATTTTCTCTAATCTTATAAAACCTGGATTTGAAAAATATATTTTTATGTGAAAACTTATCGAAGGCTTGTTTCACTCCTTCATCGATAGAATTAAAAGAACAGATGTGGTGTTGACCACAATTCCTTTTTATCCCACCCCTCTAAAATTCTGAACCAGTGAAAACCTCTAACGAAGGAATGTATGCCTCTTTCCCATGTTCCTCATCCTCACAAAGTACTCAGGTAACTTCAGGTGACTGGTCCTGATGGCCTCATGTCTCTGCACTCAGGATCATACTTAGGATCTGGCCTGAGCCTGCTTGTGGGCCATAGCTGTGAGCTCCTGACAGGGTGATGGGGCTCAGATCCCCACCCTGATCCTCACCCTCAATGCCTGCCACGTCGACCCTTGGTTAGGTGGTTGCTTCTCAGCATCCCCCAGTGACCTTTAAAAAGTAAGTAACAGACCAAACAGACTTCACACTCAGGGTTCAGGTGCAGCAGGGCTGGATGGGCCCAGGAATCTGTAACTGTGATCAGCGGCCACATTGGAGAACCAGTGGTCTAACTGAGGACTCAGTGAATTGAAGTGTGTGTGTGTGTGTGTGTGTGTGTGTGTGTGTGTGTGTGTGTGTGTGTAGATTCCCCAGTGAGATTGTAAGGGCCTTGCTGCCTGATTATCTTCCTTCTGCCTATAGGATTTCAGGTGCCAGATGTGATCTGTGATCTCACAGAGGTCATCTTATAGTGTCATGGTGAGGGCAAGATCAGAGATGTGCTCTGTGTGGCTTCAGTGCGTAGCACCGTGGTGGCGGACTCACAGGAGATTTTTAATTGCTCTGTTGATGACCGGAGTGCGGGTTTGGGCATGCCTAACCGACTCGGGCAGCCTGTGGGCTTGACAGGTACAGAAGTGAGATGCTCTGGCTCATGACCCCTTCCCAGGCTCTTCTGCCTGTTCACACCAGGTTGGCAACACTGCAAGTCTTAGTTTCATCCTTAACTTCACAATTTCTGGAGTGATGGTCCTTTCACAGGTGAGGAAACTGAGACTTAGAAAAACCACCTTTCCACCTTACCCCTAGGCTGTATATGGTGGATTTGAGGTTTGAACCCAAGTCAACAGAACGCCTTGGACTACATACTAGTGCCTGATTCGTAAAACCAAAGTTAATGTCTTCATACAACACAGTGTTAATCCTACCTGTTATCTTAACCCTGGGTAACAGCCTGCAAAATTATCACCCCGCCAATTTTTTAAAACATTTTTTGGTTTGGTCAGAGAAAGCGTTTGTATAAAAGGTAAGAAGAAGGCATTATTCATTCAGCCTTTTACATCTCCTTTTAAAAACACTCACCACCTTTATTATATTACCTCTGAATTTTGATTTTAATTTAATACACATGAGGAAACCCTAGCAAATAACAGGCTCAAAAGACTCAAACAACTCAGCAAAAAAGGCATCAAATAAAAATTATGTATGGTACATCAATCATTCTTATTTCTCCCATAAATCTTGAAAAACAAAAAAATCAGCTCCTCATATTTCATATGTTTTCCTCCTTTGAATTAAGGAAAGCTTCCAAAGATACATTGTATGTACAGAGAGGGCACATGGGGAACACCGCCTTGGCACGTTTTACACTCTTCAGGAAAGAATCTACAAAATTGGCTTTGATCCCTGTTCTTAAATTTAAGAGGAGCTCAATTGCAAGACTTATAAATAGAATTTGTTAAGTCACCAAACCATTTTTTTATTTGAAAATAACAAACTTCTACCTTGAACTGAGCTGGCTGGAAAGGGGAGAGGGTTTCTGCCCTGCCACCCCCAGGCTTTGGTGGAGGAAGCAGAGGGGCATGAGCAACGCAGGGAAGAGGAGGCTAACGGAGGATTGTCCACTTGCTGCGGGGTGGGCAGTGCCCTCAGGCCTGCTAAACTGGTCCATCTCCCTAGGGGGCAGAAAAGGTGAATCTGTTATGATGTCCTCTTAAAATTCTTCCCTCCCTCTTCCTCTCCCCTCCACCCCTCCACCTCTCTCCCGACCGGTCACTCCTGTCCTTCTTGGTGGCCTAGTGAATGTTTCCTGGACTTTCCTTTGTCTCAGAGCTTCAATTGTGACTTACCTGGGTTTGGATTATAGGAATGGAAAATCCATTTTATTTTGCATGATTCAGCATAATTTTGTAGAAGACACTGAGAAAAGTGCTGTGTTGGACACCACAGGGCTACATGGGAGCTGGGATTTGAACCCAGGAGGTGGAACCCCAAGGCTACTTTCCCTTCCTGGAAGCTCAGCTGCCTTCCTGCCACTGACTGAGGCTTCTGCATAGTGATCAGCCCGTGGGAGGCATGGAGCAGCCTGAGGAGCTAGGTGTCAGTGTCCATGTTTTACACACAAACAGAGGGCAACTGATATGGCCAAGACCATGCAGCTGGCATCCCATCAGGTCTCAGAGCCTGCGTTTTAAGGCCGGTGCCCATCCATCGCCATGTCGAGGACTTGGCTAGACTCGGGAGGCTCTGGCTAGGTCCTTTCTGCCCTGCTGGATGAAGGTGGATGGGCACACCTCCCTGAGTTAGGCAACAGGCAACTGGGGTAACTGAGACCCTGAGAAATCAGTCGGCTTGCTTTGGCCGCTCCATTGGTAAGTGTGGCATGGGGCCAGAGCAGAACTTTACACTCTATTCCCCTGGGGTGGGAAGCTGGCACTTGGCGAGATGCAGACAGAAATCCTCAACAGATGGAATTTTAAACTCTGTGGCCCTTGTGCACTGAATGCTTAGTGCTGAAGTTTCGCAATGCCTTCAAATTACTTTCCAAGAGGTCAGAAAGGCAGAGGGGGAGCAATTGCCAGCCACAGAGGGTAGAGGTGGGGTGCCCAGACGTGCCCTGTGCTGGGGACTGAGGGGTCTCCATTACTGAGCCACATCCTCAGCCCTTTTGGTGATGAGACAAGGTCTTGCAAGATTGCTGAGGCCAGCCTCGAACTTGTGATCTCCTGCCTCAGCCTCACAAGTAGCTGGGATTACAAATGTCATTACCCTGCCTGGCTGTTCCTTCAACTTTTATGTAGACTACAGTGAAAGGTAGGAGTGGGGGAAGAGTGAGAAAAGGAAGGAAGCAAAGAAGGCAATTCTGACAGTGTGCTTTCTCTTGGTGACTCTGCAGTGTCCCTGCATCGACAGCCACAGAGCCATATCCGGTCTTTCACCTATCAGGTAATCAGTAGTTGTGGTCAACAGAACATGGTGTTCTGAACCTCACTGAAGAGACACAATGTACCAGCACCTGGGGATATGTTTTTAAGTCAACAGGAAATCCTTAGATTTATAAAGTTCTACCAACCACTCAAAGAGAAATCATATTTTGGATAAATCTTCCAAAGAAAATTTCCTGCCTGGCTAAACGATGACTGTTAGCTGATTCTGCAAGCATTGATTCATTTTTTGATAAATTATAATATTTAAATATTCCATATCCCTACTTGCTGTCATAAAAATACTAGTGACGGTTGCCAGCTAATAATTCCCCCATTCCCAATTATGTTTGAAGATTTAAAAAAATTAAATACAACAAAATAGAATTGAAATTTTATAGAACAAAAATTCAATAGTCAGTGAAATCCATTTGTGATACAAATTCATGATGTGATACAAATCACATCAGAAGACACGTCATGCCCTGGTGGGTACTATGCATTTCACTTTTGGTTTCAGAGACTATATTTTCTATATTCTAAGAGCAATATGTGATCATTTAAAATTTTTTGAATATCATAGGCTAGGGGGAAGAAACAAAATCCATCTTCAAACCCAGAAGGAGCTAGAACTTAACATTTTGATGACATTTCTTCTCGAGGCATTTTTCTTTTTGTCTATCATGCGTGGTTTTCTTTTCTTATTTTTTGAAATTGTATTCTAGGTACAATTTTTGTATCCTGCTTTGTTCAAATGACACTACCTTATTAGCATTTTCAGTATTATTAAAATTTGGGGGAAAAGATTCGTTTATGTTGTGAAAATTAAAAAATAAATAAAGACACGGGGAGAATATAAGAAATTATATAGGCTTATGTGATGGAAAGACTGGAGGTGACTGGATGGACAGAAGACAGGTGCCGGGAGGAACACTTTCCCACTGAGTATATTAATATATTTCTGTAAATTGTCTGTGTGTATATATGCATATTTAATTTTGAACTCTGTGCATATGATGCTTAGTAAAATGTAAATAAAGTGATTTGAATAATTTAAGGCCTTGGCCTATTATATAATTCTCCAGAGAGGGAGCTCATGAGTTCTATATTTTTTTCTCATGCATTGATCTGCGTGCTTTTGAATACATTTGTGCATGTGTGTGTGTGTGAGTGAATAATTGCCTGATTTGATTTGGTCCCTAGTTCAAACAATCAGACTATCTTAATGTCCATAGCTTATTTTGATATTTGGTGGTTGAAATTTTATGAGGATATTTAGAGACTAAATCTTGAGAGATTTCCACTTTTTTTTTTTCCTTTTTCTATGGGAATGGCTTCTCTTTTCTATACCAGAAGACAGGTCGTGCCCTAGTGGGTACTATGAGGACCTAAAGAAGTCTAGGGCCAGACCATGAAGGCCACAGCTGACACTGTGCCCACAGGACAAGGACTCGTCCCCTGTGGGCCCTCACGTGAACGTCTCTGTGAAGTTTACAGGTGGATGGGGTCCTTGGTCTCCAGGACAACTGGAGACAAGGCTGAAAGCTGTGGTCACTGTGCATCTGGGCATGTCAACTCAGAGTCCCTACCACCCCTGTGTCCCACAGCTGGCAGTGGAGCCTGGACTTCCCTGTGGACCCCACACTGACCATCCCTCATCCTGATGGTGCTGGTGCCTGGCTGGGTCCCCTGCAAGCAGAGAAGTGGTGCTAGAGACTGGGACTTACCCCACCGCAGCAGTGACAGTCTCCACAGAGTGTCCCCAGGAGGCCGTTGATCGCCTGGATAGCACAGAGAATCATCTGGATTCCTCCGACCACCAGCAGGATGGAGAAGAGGGTCAGATTCCAGGAGACCACATTGTCAGGCTCCAGGCACTTGCTCCACAGGGCTTGGTCACTGAGATAATCCCTGCAGGTGACGGGGTGGGGAAGGTGGAAGGAGACATTGGTTAAATACGGAGTCATCCCCTAGACTGGGAGGTCTACATAAAGATTTTTCTTGTGCAGTACTTCCCGCCTGGAGCTGGGGGGCGGGTGTGGCTTGGTGGCAGAGCACTTACCAGGCCATAGGTTCCAGCCCAGCACCACAAAAACAAGACAAGTTCCATGAGAAAAATACACAAATAAATTAATGAAACAACCCCAAACACACACATTGAGTACATCCTATGTGCCAGATCATGTTCTAAATGTTTTGCACGTATTCTCTCATTTATTCCTCACAGAAACCTATGATTCTTTCCTTCCAGACCCCAAATAAGGAAACGGAGGCACAGAGAGTTTAAGTGGCTTATCCCAGGTCACACAGCTACTAAGCAGCAGAGCAATATTTGTGACAGGGCAGAGAAACAAAAAAAAAAAAAAATCACGTCAGAGTTAGAATTGCACAAATGACAGCCTTTTTTAGCAGTACCATCATTCGAGACATTTTGACTTTTGACAAATTATCTGTTCAACTCAGCGGAGATCTAAAACCATGTAAAATACAAATGTCATATCAACTAAAGGGAAGAGTCTGATTTTTGGCCAAACTGTGAATTTGACTCAACATGGAGGAATTCCATGTGAAAAAAATGCTTAATTATCTTTAAAAGTTAGAAGTAATCTACTACCTTAATACATATAATTTGCATAAACTTTGAATTAAGAGAAACTGCTGTATATACATATACTGCAATTTCTCATATTCACATCTATACTGTGTGTCTGTGTGTGTGTGTGTCTGTGTCTCTGTGTGTGTGTGTGTGTGTGTAGAGCTGGGGGGGGGCAGTTCATTGTCATACGCAGGGCCTTGTGTCTTGCAGAGGAGAGGTGAATCTGCTCTGTTCCCCAGAAGACAAGAAAGAGCAAAGTGGGCAGATGCTTTTGGATTATTAAGATTCTGTCTCACATTCCTAGAGCCACAGATCCGCCCCTCTCCTTTCTATTTCCTCCACCCTCTGGACCTTTATGAGAAACTCTCTAGCTACCAAGGTAGCACTCATCTTATTGTTCCAGATCTTTATTGTTATTGTTCTTGTTATTGGTTTTGGGGGTTGAACCCAGGGGCTCTCTCCCACTGAGCTCATGCTCAAAAGCTTTTTATTTTGTATTTTGGACAGGTTCTCCCTAAGCTTCCGAGGATTGACTTGACCTTGCCGTCCTCCCCTGGCCTCAGTCTCTGGAGTGGCTGGGATTACAGGTGCCACTGTGCCCAGCTATCTAGATCTTCATGATGACCTCTGTGTCCTAGAAATTCTCAGGTGCACCAGTGCACATTTATTTAATACATTATGATTTTAGAAACTCTTACAAATGATGGGAGATGTCCTGGGGTTGAACAAAGGTGAAGAAATGAAGGAACGAGTGCTTCACTCTTGATTCAGAAGCAAAGCTGTTTATACCCTTGACTCAGTTTCCCTAAGTGGCCTGTTTTAGTGGGATACCTGCCGTGGGGCCTCATCCCTACCTGTAAAACGGGAGCCACTTAGTCTACCACGTCTTAGTGTCACTGTATTACATAAGCTAATATGCGTGCTCAGGACATGCACAGAGTAAGTGCTTGCTGAATACCTGTGCTGTCATGTTCTCACTTGATCCACACAGACTAATGAAAAGAGCCTGCATTTTGGAAATTTGCTGTTTTACATCAAACATCCATCTTTCTGTTTCACTTGTTCTTACACGCAATCCTTGCTCGCTTTACAATTTTGAGTTTGATGATTATAAAAGTTGGTAAAGATAGGGTATTTTTCAGACACACTGATTTATATAAAGAAAACAGACTTAGAGGCAGTTTGTCCAGAGATGGGGCGACAGCGCCGCCTGGTGATGGGATTGGTAAAATACTCTGGGAATGAGAAAGCTAGGAATAATCTGGATGCCTGGAGAATCCAGTTGCACTCCAGCTGCTCCCAAATGGCCCCTGGTAGCCATCTTCAGGTCCTTCTCCACTCACAACTCTCAAATCTGAGGGTGTAGGAGACCCTGATCAAAGAAGGCTATAGGCACGCACAGTGTGCTCCCAAGCCCAGGGTGGGAGGGGTCCTGGGTTCTTTGTGGACCTGGTAGTTGACATGTTTCTACTTTCTGTGAGGCAGGGAGAGCTGAGTCAGTGTCAATCCTCCTAACTAGTGGTTTTCTTTTTTGTTTTGTTTTGTTTTTTGCTTTTGGTACCAGGGATTGAATCAGGGGCACTTAACCATTGAGCCACATCCCAGGCCTATTTGTTTGTTTGTTTAGAGACAGGGTTTTCAGAGTTGCTTAGGGTCTCACTAAATTGCTGAAGCTGGCTTTGAATTTGCAATCCTCCTGCCTCAGTCTCCTGTGACTCAATGTCAATCCTTTCAGGGATTACAGGGGTGCGCCATCATGCCCAGTTTAATTGGTATTTTAAAGCACCTGGTTATCACGAGGGGCATTCCCACCTGAACCACAATAATCCCACCAATTTGGGAGCAGAAAGCTATGGTTTACACAAGTCTCTTTGCTCTAGGACTAGAAACCCACAAGGGCAGAGACCATGTCCCCGCAACTCTGTCCCCAGGTCCAGCACAGTGAATGTTCAATACACAGCAGCCCTCGTTCACTGGGTCTTGACCAGGGACTGAGCACTGGGCTCTTTGCTTTATATCAGCCTTCCTAACACTACAAAGATGGGCTTCTGGAAAAGTGCCTGGCAAAGAGCAGCCCTCGGTAAATATTTCCTGAGTGAATGAATGTATATCCATTTTGCAAATTAAGAAGTTGAAACTTGTAACTGGAAGTAGCTGGATTTGATCTGAGGTCTAATTTCAAAGCCAGTGCCCTTATACAAATTGTACTCAAGTAATCGTATCCCTTTAGAACATTTAAAATATGATTTCTTTATGAACTTCTCTTTATGCTATCTGTAATAATATGCCAACCAAGGTTTACTGTGTTATCGTAGAGATGAGTCTCTTTGAACCTTCCTGTGTCTGGCTGAAAGGATTGACACTGAGTCACAAAATCATTAGAAAAGTGTAACACTTTAGAAAGTTCTAATGCACGTGAATGAATTCCGTTCCAAAAATTCATAAAAATGAAGAACATCGTGGGATGTCAAAAATGCAGTGGGCATTGTGCTTTTCGTGCATCTTGCTGTTTTATTTCCACCTGAAGCTGTGAGGAAGATGTTGCTGCCACCTCTGTCTCACCACTGAGGAGTCTGAGTTTGCAGGGCAAGACCTGCGGTAGACGCACACAAGTGTGTGGACCAGCTTGCTAGCGGGGCGCACATGGGGCACTGGCGGCCTTTTTAAAATAAAACTTTGTTTCTGCTCAAGCGGCTTGTGATTCTGTGCCCAGCCGGGTTGTGGCACTTGACGTTCTCTGCTCTCCTCTGACGTCCCCAAGTTGCAGCCTGCCTCAGTCAATGGTGCCCCTTCTGCTCCTCCTCCCATATTGCCCTGAGCTTCAGGTCACAGCATCCTGACATCTGATCCCCTGAGCCCCGAGGCCCACGCCTGCCTCCCCTCCCTGTGGGGAAGGCGAACTCAGGCTCATCCTCCCAAACCAGCCATGCCCCCTCCTCAGGGTTCCACTACTTTCCACATTGACAAATTCTGTCCCCTGTTGCCCCTGCAACTAACCATGTGCTCCTGGAACTGTGCCTCATCTGTCCTTCCTCACTCCATGTTCTGATGGGCTTCGGCACTAAGTCAGGTACTAATGCTGTGCAGTTAAAACATTTCTTCTCCTGGTTCCCAGCTGAGGGGCCCTGGGGGGGGATTAGCCTCTTTGAACTTCATTTTTTTCCTCCGGGGTAAGAATTCTCAGGTTTGACAGGAAGATTGAGATAAGGCACCCATGCTTGGCAATTATCATTGGGAAGAAAAGAAGGAGGAGGAGGAAGAGGGGAAGAAAAAAATAAAAGAAGAAGGAGGAGGAGGAGGAGGGAAGGAGAAGGAGAAGGAGGAGGGGGAAGAAGGAAGAGGGGGAAGGAGGAGGAGGAGGAGGAGAGGGAGAGGAAGAGTAAGGAGAACAGGAGGAGCTGTCACCCTGCATCATACTGCGCTGCCGTCTGGTGGTGGGAGGGGTGACAGCTGTCTGGAGTCTGTCCTGCTCACAGTGGTTTAACCATGTGTAACGGTGGCTGTGATGCCCCTGTGCTGGGGATCTGATGGGGACAGGAGTCTAGTCAGGAAAAGTGAAGCCAGAGCACATGAGTGTTGCCAGAGGGAATCTCAGCAAAGAGCAGAAAGCATGATCAGCATTGAGTTGTGTTTTAGAAAAAAAGCCAGGTGACTCTGGCCGAGAAAATTGGAAGTCCAGCTGCAGTCATTTAGAAACCATATTCCCTCAAGCAGGTCACCAGGCCTCAGCTATCTTCCTCTGAGAGAAAGCTTCAAATCTCATTGGATGAGGATCAAATGACACATTGTGAGTGACTCGATTTTTTGCTACCTAAACACCAGCAAGCAATAGAGGATTGATTCCTGTGATAAGAAACTCCTCATGAGTCACAGGGAAGACCTGGAAGACTTCTGATTTTCTCAAACCAAAAAGGAATGTGCTGTGCATCCAGGTCTCTGAAGAGAGGAAACAGGAGGCCAGGATGAATGAGGTGCTGTAGATGGCAGAGAGGTATAGCCAGACGCCATCTGCCTGGCTCCCACCCTGCAAAGAGCCTTCCTGTGGCCATAGTGGCACATGTCACATGGTAAACAGATTGTTCAATTCTAGGCAGTCTGGGTGTTGGTGAAAGCCTCTGAGCCCAGTTGGTGAGAAAT